TTCAAAAAAGAAAAGAAAAAAAAAATCACCCTTCTGAAAAAGCACCAGATTAGTAACTCACAGCTCTCACGACTGTGACTGAAGAACAGTGGGCGGAAGGTGTCATGAGCTCAGTCTAAATCAATCAATATGCCCTGATCATCCACATCCTGTCTGTTTCATTCCAAGTCCCAAGTTGGCTAAGAAATCTGACAAATATGTCCAGATTACTCACTCACTTCTCAAAGATCCACAAAACAGCCAACAGTGAGAGCAATGGTATGGAAGTATTGACTTCCTATTGTATTTACTACAAGGCTGTCTGTTTTTATAATAACACAGCTGCTGTGCTGAAAGCATCTGCATTTCAAAAGCATTTTCAAAGGACCGAAAAAACATACACTCACCGGTCACTTTATTGGGTACACCAAGCTGGAATCTTGTTGGTCCCATTTTGCCTTCAGATGGGTTTTATTAGATTATTCATTCATTCATTTTATTTTCACCCCTTTATTATCAGGGGTTGGCACAGCGAAATGAACCGCCAATTTATCCAGCATATGTTTTACACACCCCAACACTGGAAAACATCCATACAGTCTTGCATTCATACAAATACACTATGGCCAATTTAGCTGAGTCAATTCACCTACAGGAGCACCCAAACCAGCGACCTTGCTGTGAGGTGATCATGCTACCCACTGTGCCATCAAGCCACCAGGTTTTAACTGTTTTCGTTATAAAGTAAAGACAGTGCTGCAAATATTCCTACGAGATTTTGATTCATATTGACAGTACAGCAGTTACACATGATGCCAATCTCCTTTTTCCCAACAACCTGAAAGTGCTGTATTGAAGACATATCTACAAGACAAACAAGATCCTTGCTTTAATGTTGTTTATGATAAATTATTGCTCTACTATTTGAATGATGCAGCAAAAATCAAGACACATCAAATCTGGCAACCCGTTTTTCAGCCTTCTAAAGTCCAATGCACACAAAGCTAGCCCATTCTGATGCTCAGTGTGAGCTTCATCAGATTGTCTTGACCATATCTACATGCCTAAATGAGTTTCTGCCATGCGATTTGCTGATGAAGCATTTGCATTAAATAGCAATTGAACAAGTAAACATAGAAGTGGTTGGTGAATGTATTCATGCAAATTTACCTACACAACACAAACACAGCACAAAAATAATTTAGAAAGGCCCCGCCACCACCCACCGCAAAAGTTTCTCATTCCAATGTTCATTTGAAATCAAACAGACACCATTGTTAAACACAAATACATGTGCTGGATCTGAGACACTGATTATTTAGATTGATGATCTACGTATTTCTCTCAATCCTGATCTGCCTTTTTATCCATCTGTAAATTTATTCCATATTGCATTTACAAGTGCATTGCACAACGCCAGCAGACTTTGAAAAAAAAAAAAAACGAATACAAAATACATGCTCATTTAAGGATAACCAAAAACACTATCTATCCATCTATCTATCTATCTATCTATCTATCTATCTATCTATCTATCTATCTATCTATCTATCTATCTATCTATCTATCTATCTATCTATCTATCTATCTATCTATCTGTCTGTCTATCTGTCTATCTGTCTGTCTGTCTGTCTGTCTATCTATCTGTCTGTCTGTCTGTCTATCTATCTCTTGTATGACTTATGTTACTGCATTGTTGCAGAGTAGACAGCTTCGGGCTAGAAATAACCAAGTTTGATCAAATTTTCTGATTACTGTAAAACATATCAAAGTAAACAAATAAATAATGCAGTCGAAGGGGAGAAATGCTAGGTGGAGAATGAAAATGAATGGAAGACTCCCCCTTGTGGATAAACCGACAAGTGATTATTATGTGTGTTTGTGGACCCGGGAGGGATTTGACCATGGTCAAGCTGAGCCCCTGCTGATATTGAATTCATCATAAAGGAAAGAACAACAGCACTGATGCAACAGTGCCATGCTCTACAGAAGAGCTGAAATCCATATTTATAAAAAAATATAAAGATCCAACATACAGTATACACACTTTGTCTGATAGTGGATGTCTAAAAAAAAAAACTTGGTCTATCAGCTAAGCAAAAACAGTACAATAAATGCATTTGCTTGGCTCCATGATACACATTATTTTATATTTTTTATAAGAATTGTCAATATATTACATCTTTTTTGACATTTTTATCATAAATTTCATCACTCGTTTACAGAATAAAACATAAATCAAGTTTACACACCAGCACAACACTGTAAATCATAAATAAAGAGAAACCTAATATGTTCAAGAGGTCTCTTTTTTATGGCTGTGTATGTGTCCCCGTGTATAATTCAAATATTTTGTGTGGCAAACAACCAAGCAAATTTAATTTATTGTGTTAGTGATGATTAGGCTTTTGCTGATTAGCCTTTCAATGTTTTTTTAATCATCTACCATCTCATATAGATTTCCTCTGCTCTGCACAATATACCACTGTTGCATCAATCTTGTTGATCTCTGATTTGTGATGAATTAAATACCAGCATTTAATATACTGTAAGTATATATATATATATATATATATATATATATATATATATATATATATATATATACACACACACAAAATACCCTCCCCCCACCACCACCACTGACAAAGTTCAGAAAATGACCCCTATTTGAGCCCTATTTGGTTGCTATGCCATCATAAGTTGTAAAAAACGATTGATAGAATAAGACTTTAAGACTAATTTTAATCATTCAAGTGGCCAAATTCTGACTGAGGAAAGTTAAATGAGCTAGCTAGTTTGTTATTTGCCTATAGGCTACAGGTTTTATTTTAAAACAAGCTTTACCAGATTGTTTTTTAATGATGAATGATAACAAATGTACAATTAGGCTAAGTATTTTTATGCCAATCTCACAACAATATTTAAATTGCAAATATTTATGTTGCATCAAAAAAGTGTGGTTATGATCAATTTAATTCATAATTATTTCTATAGCGCTTTTACAATGTAGACTGTCAAAGCAGCTTAACGTAAAAGTTCTAGTAAAATGAAACTGCGACAGTCCAGATTTTAGAGTTGAAGTTCAGTTTAGTTCAGTTCAGTGTGGTTTAATTCTCCAAACATTGAAGAGCAAATCCATTGATGCACAGCTCCACAAGTCCCAAACCAAGCAAGCCAAGGGCGATGAACAAAACTTCACCAATTGATGAAAGTGAAGGTAAGAAACCAGGCTATTTTGAGTAAGACCATTTCTCTTCTGGTCAAACTTCATATTTTTATTCTTCAAAATAGCTAAAGATCATGCAAAACATGTTCACGTCAAGATTTAAAAATAGTAGATTTTTATCCCTACCATTTTTCCTACCATGATGTTGGCAGTGGCGGTTAGGTCATTGTTTGATGATGGTGATTAAAGATTTTGAGTGTTGAAAATTATTGTAAGACAGCATATTGCTGGTAAGAGATTCCACATCACAGACAATATTGTCATGATGCTTCTCATAACAACTGCAATTCAAAATGTCATTCTAGTCTTCCTTGCTGCAACAACTTGTTCCTTTCAGTTGTGTTCTGCTTGTTTTCACAGGTAACAACAGCCTGTCCTGTTTATTTAGCAATTCTTAACTAATTTGTGAAATATAAATGCACAAGACCAAAGTGGCAAAATATGAAGTGTTTTTATGTGAAAGAAAAAAAATTAAGTACAATTCTTAGTGCCATTCCAGTCTAACCTACTGTAATAAATACTTCAATCTCAGTTCTGCTGTCACTGTTTTTTTTTTCCGGTAAGAACATCATATGCTTTATTTCATATGATCACCATCCGACAAGCTAATCCAGCAAAGATTAGTTCTTAAAATGTCAATAAAATGCATAATTGAATAGAAAATGAGGCGAATAACTGCAAAAAGGTCCACTTTTTCAGAAAAAAAAAGAACCACTCCTTTTAATAGGCTGGCTACGGGTCTAAAATGTAATGCAGTGATCGGGCTTAGGTTGAAACACAACATTTGTTTATTCATGCAAATTAGCATAAGGTATAAATAAAAAAAAGTTAATAGCCAATATTGTTTACCTTTAATTTAGTGCAGAAGATACTGATAATAGTTTGGTGTTAAATGGTTGTTTTCCATGGCACAGGACCAAAGAAAACATTATGTCTCTTTGAACAAGATGCATATCTGTTTCTGACAGCAAAACAAACCCTAGGTGCCTAGTGTTTATTAAAAAGCACCATTCCCTCATGGTGCATTTAAATGAACGAACACAAGTCTAAGATAACAAGGCTTTATAAATCTACATCTCACTTTCAAGGGGGGGACACGTTGGTTTAACAGCCTTGTCAGAACCTGATGTGAGGAATAAGTGACCCTCGACCACTTATCCACAGTTATCTATGTAAATCCAATCGTGCGTATGCAAATCCTGACATGTAAATGTGCCATTGAGCTACTTAATGTAGTGATTACAAAAATGGGGTCCATTACAGCAACAGAATGTCGTGAGATCTGAGAACTACTCCATTACTAGTCACATCAAACGGCTTCAAGAGGAAGTCATTTTTAGCATTCTCTTCATTTAAACTAAACTAGCATCGAGGCTCTGCTTGTCTGTCTGCATCGCTCGTCCCCAATGTCTAAGATTCTCAGTGTGTCTGGGTGAGGTCTTGTTTGACTTGTCTCTAGGGAAGATGCTGGAAGGAAATGTCTTCGACGCGATGTGGCGACATGGCCCTGGGGGTCATGTGACAGCTTTAAAATGGCCTTTTGATTCCGATTCACAGCCCATAATAACCCCGCTACCAGATCTAAGGCTCTTTTATGTCGCCTCTGCAACCCTATCCAGGGAATTTGCACTGCCGTCTTGTCCTCTCGCTGCATTTCACCAGGGAAAACTATGCCGTCGAGAGAAAAACCATGAAATGGGAGAGAGATGTGCTTTGTGTGCATATTCCACATAACATCATAACTCACTCTTCTTCTCCCCTCAAAAAAAAAAAAAAAACAGTCAGGAAATACCTTGACTCCTCTAGGCGAAGTTGCTGCACACAATAAATCTAAGAATGTAGATCTCTGGGACCTGGGATAGACAAATCACGGCCTTTTTGATCATCTAAGGGTCAAAAAGAGCAAGAAAGTCACTTCAGATATGTCAGAAGACAGAAGGAAACAAAGAAAAGAAATAGATAAAAAGGAAAATAGACATGTTGTATTAAAGTTGCTATGGGTCTTATAGCCATATAGCTGAATAGCATAGTTGATTTATTTAAAATTGTCTTTTCAAAAGCAGCCTTTTACAAATATAAAACATATGCTGTGATTTATGGCCTTCATGCTGTATGAATAGAGCTTACCTGGTTGAGGACTATGAAGGGAGACTGTAGCCTGGAGCAACAATACGACTTCATTCCTGGTTCATTCATTCTGAAGATCACAAGAAAAAAAAACGCTTGAACCAAAAGACACATGTACCTTTCCATTTAACAGAAATGCCTTTCTTTTCAACGCATAATGGAGCTGAACCCCATTCTGTGCTGCTAAGAGCAAGTGCAAAAACTGTCTACAATACCCTTTAAGTTCCTAAAGCAGTTTTCTTTCATGATGGCGCCATCGTTCCCCGTTGTGGGTAGAATAAACAGTGGGATGACCTGTGACCTCGGGCTTTATGATCTCATAAGCTCAAATCCAGTTTGTGGTTGAGCTGGCCATACTCCTGTGTGCATTTATTTCCAGTATTACACTTCAGCGGACTGGAGTTCAGTCTCATGGTGGAATGTCTGGAGTGCGACAAAGACAGAAAGTCAATATTTTTTCTGCATTTCTATCTGGTGTGGGTCTACATAGATCTACAATTGTAAAAACATATTAAAACAAATGCTAGCACGCAAAACGTGAGCAATCTCATGTTACTGTAAATGGTATACAAAATACAGATAGCAAGGAGATGTGTATACTATTGTATAGTTATAATAAATGTAAAAGTAGTATTTATGATGAATCTGGTGAAAGGAATTTGATTTAATAATAAAATATCTGTCCTTTTAACCATTACAGGGCTTTAAGATTTTTCAAACTAAAGAGTAGCTTGCATTACCATTTCTGTAGGTTGGTTTTGCAATCAGTTTTTGAGGTTATTTGTTATTTAAATGTTCTTAGTCTTATTTTTATTATATTTCTATCATTAAATGTCATATGTACTTATACTTATTTTTAATATATCAATCTATAATATTCTAAAAATAATTTACACCACTACTTCTGATACTTCTGATAACGATTTTGTTTTACTTCATTTAACAATCGCTGGACAGTTACACTAATACATAATAGGTTACAATCTAACTTAAAAGCTCATCAAAATTAAGAATATTTTAATTCTAAAACTTAAAACACAATGATAGAATGTTTTTGAACGACAGATAGTGATATCAATATCAGAATGTATTTGAGACTACTAAAAATGCTGAGAGACAACTAAGGCCATGTTTGCTGCCAGTGAAGAAATGTGTTTTATATGAAAGGAGGCCTGTTCCGCTGACTGGATTGCGCAACAGGCCAATGGATTGGTGGCTCCCCGGACTCGCTCTCCACCTCCCTTACGTTATAACTACTAGAGCCCCTTGAGCAAGAGATGCCAGTATATCTCTCATATTAAAATTCAGAGAGCCACAGCAATGGATTCAAGCACTGACGAGACTTTAAATCTCACCGCGTTTCTACAGACAGATCCGTACATTGCACATTATGAGGGAGAGCTGCGTAGAAGGTAAACGCCCTTTTGATAAACTTTTAATGAATTCCACTTGCCTGATTAGGTCGATTTATTCGTTGTATGCACATGGTTCTAGTGGGTTTTCCTCAAAATTATAAATTAAACTATAATCCGGATGTGTTGTTTTCTTACAAGCGTTGTTCATCATCGCGTCACTCTAGCGCGCGAGTCTTTGCTGCAGCAGTCCAATCAGAAATTCGCACGTGCTGTGCTGCACCTTGCATGCTTATTAAAGAAATATGAGTTGTTTGTATTTATGTACAATCGCTTCCACAGCTTAGAAATCTCTCAAAATGCCATTTATTATAATGCCAACATATATATGTAATTTTATAAAACATTAGTAATTTAAAGAAAATAAATATATCTTTCTAACCACCGGGTGTCGCTATTACATGCCTTCAATTAGGCAGCACTTCTTGTTATGAAATAAAACTAACCGACCAAACTGAAGGAAACATAATTGATAATCACATTTTGGCGAGACATGGCGCACCAAGAAAAAGGAAAACCAACAGTCAGTGCTTCAGTCATGTTGGGGCAAAGATTTTTTCTTCACAGAGGTCAGCGGGAAATGTATCTGTTTAATTTGCCAGAAATCAGTTGCAGTAATGAAGGAATTTAATATTAAAAAACATTATGAAACAAAGCATCAGGCCTTCAGCTCTTACTGGTGCAGAACGAGATCAAAAAGTAAAACAATTAGCAGCTGCCCCTTCAGCTCAACAACAGCAGTTTTTTCGTGCTAGTGCAAGAAAATTCTACACTTTTTTTATATATTTTTTGTCTTGTTTCAAGTCCAAATATCTAAAAAAAATCTTAAATAAAGGAGAATTTTCTAATTTATTAATAAATAATATGCAATTATTAAGTGAGTTTCCTTAAAACAAGCAAAATAATCTGCCAATGGGATAAGCAAAAAAATCTAGTTTTTCCTTTTGACATAAGATTATTTTGCTTACCCCCTTAATTTGCTTGTTTTAAGGAAAAACTCACTTAATATTAGCATTTTATTCCTCAAAACTGTATGTAAAATTTGCCCCGGGACAACATTATTATTTTTATTTATTTTTTATTTTTTTGCATCTGGCATTCGGCAAAGTTTGGACATAGGGCTCAACCTGTGCAGTGCACATGCCCTTTTTAGTCTTGGATATAAAGTGCCCTTCCAAAATGATCAAAAGTGCCCCCGCGACACGACACATCCTCCGTCGCGCCCTTCAGTAGGCGCGCAACAACACCGCTCTTGAGTACGCACGCTCAACCCACCTCCCTCCCCCCGCTTTACAATACGCGCGCAACAACACAGCTGATCAGAACGCACGACAACACCGCTCTTCAGTACAGTCTCTGCACGGGCCTGTTGGACACCCCTGCATTACAATAATAAACTACTTGATAAAAGGAATGATTTATTTTTGTGTTTTTCAATCAGCAAAGTTCTTTAAACAATTTCCGTTCACACTGATTAAAAATGGTTAAAATTAACTAATTCATTCATTCATTGTCTTTTTGGCTTAGTCCCTTTATCTTGGGTCACTACAGCAGAATGAACTGCCAACTTATCCAGCAGAGGTTATTATAGCATACCCGATTCACCTATAGGACCTACCACATGTCTTTGGACTGTGGGGGAAACCTACACGAACATGGGGAGAACATGCAGACTCCACACAGAAATGCCAACTGACCCAAGAGGCTCAAACCAGCAACCTTCTTGCTGTGAGGCAATTGTGCTACCCATTGCGCCCTCATGTTGCCACGGTTAAAAATACTGGTTAAAAAACTGTAGCAAATACACCTACTGTATTAAGTGGACATGAGTTGTACAATTTAACTCATAGTATTTGAAATACAGAAGGAGTCCATTGCATTTGACACTGTTCCATGAGGCCACAAGACAAATTGTATGAATGGAAGTGAAGCATCATGGTGGATATTGTTGTCTGTATGACTTTTACCAGCGATTTATTATTTTTTTTTATTTCAGAGTGATGAGAATGACTATTACTTGTCATTGGAAATTACATTACATAGCTGTAATGGTTTTTAGGTTAAACATTTCATGTTAGCCTATATGCTTTGACTCTTTCTATAGCCTACTACTCTGTCATAAAAAGCATACCTTGTAATTGTTGTGAAGTTTAAAATAAAAGTAATACCTACTCAGACAGTATGCAATAGGGACTTATATGCAAAATACTTTTAATTTCAACCAGCCAGCCTCAGTGCTTCTGTTGAACTGTCTTTCCATTATAAAATTGCCATATTAAAGGTCTGATTTCTTTAAAAATCAGTAATCTTCATTGCCTGATAGATATACGATACTAAGTGGGTCTAAGGCTAGACAAAAAGCACTGCATTAAATTAAATTTTCCCCCGCCATGTCTTTAAAATATGACTGTTTATTTTACCCTAGTATTTTCAGTGAAGTCTTTGCTCTCGCCCGCTGATCCTGTGGTTACACGTGGCTAGTGGTTATACGGTCTTTCATCTTGTTTTAAGCTTGGATAACTATATAAAGGAAGTCTATTTGACTGAATGTATTTTAATGACATTACAACATCAATTCTGTAAAATAAACCTTATAAAATTGAAAATAATCACATTAGGCTTTCACCGGAAGTTTATTGTTGGCTGAAAGACACTAACTGTGCATATAGCCCATTGTGGAGGATGAACCAACAGTCATATAGTCCATCATTATTTTGGTTCAAGTATGTTCACGCCTACAGTCTGTATACAAAATAGAAAAATAGATAAAACATAAGTCTATTTTCACAGTCTCATCTCCACCCATGTTGTTTGCTTTAATTAAGGTCATATGTTTTTAATATTTTTTATACATAGTTTGTCATTTCCGCGTAATGTCTCTTTTTTAATGTATAGAAAAGTCACAATGTTGTTTTGGTGACCTGACCAGACTACCCCTCACCTCAGAATACCCATGACACCATCTTGCAGTCTACTCGATGGCATAATAATTTGGGACTGATGTACAGCACCTGCATGTGCTATATAGAGTAAACGTGAGCAGCTTTACAGTGACTGTCATGGATTCCAGACATTTTTTTGATTATTAATGTTCATATAGAACTCATGGTGAAAGATATAGGACTGTCAGCCAGTCCAGTAGACAGAGAAAGCAGCTAATTGGCCAGAGCTTGTGAAAACAGGGTGAGATGGCACACGGAGAGACAGCGTCTGAGCTTGGCAGGTTTCCCCCATACCACCAGCCAGTCGTCATACCTTGTTAAAATTCACTTTAATGTCTAGAGCCTCTCAGACAGACACACTCGTGCAGACATGGGCACATGCACCCGAGACTTCCATGGGATGATTTTTGTGAGACTGGGAGACAGAAAGTGAAAATTAAGTCAGGCATTGTCAGCAGAATATTGTCACAGGGGGTTTCAGTCATGACGAGCGTTTGACAGTAAACTTTCTGCTGAAAAAGAAAATGCTTTTGTGAAGTATGCAAATGCACTTTGCCATTCAAAATATCCCAATACCCACTTAACACCACGTTTATTTTCTTACAGCTTCATTCCTTTAGGGAAGGTGCAATATGGAGTATGCAATATTTTTGAAATCTCAGTCATATGATTGTCTGGCATCTCATTGGTCAGGCTGTGAACAGGTTTATTTTAATGGTGATTTATAATATTTCATCATGTAGTAGACACTCAATACAGTGGATTATATATATATATATATATATATATATATATATATATATATATATATATATAACTGTATATAGTTGCCTAATGACCTATTTCTATAACATCAAAATTAAGGAAATGTTGAAGCTCTACTTAAAGGCAGGATTTTGCTGTCAATAATAATCTAGCACATATATAGTTTATGCAGCTGCATGTCAGTGAGTAGTTGAAGGGATGTTTTTAAATGTATTGTATTGTGTGATAATACTGGAACAGAGAGCAGACTGTGGATGAGAGCTGTATGGCAGAAAACATTGCTGCTCTATAAAAGGATTTGCCA